AGCAGGAGGGGCTAGGGGGTGTGAGTCATCACCGGCATCCGTGATCTTCACCACAGCCCCGGAATCATTGCCAAAAGGTTACACGGGGGTTGTGCCTCTATATTATACTGTGGGACTGTCCTGTCAACCAGCCTTCCTAACGCATTTCTGTCCCATGGCTGCCCTCCAGTGGCAGCAGGTGGTGGCGAGCAAATGAGGGCGGTTATGAAACGGGAACCTCTAAAGTCTGTGTTTCGCTTTCAGATGACAGGCAGATACGAGATGTACGCACGGGAGCTTGCTGAAGCTGTCCAACCCAACTACAGCCCCAAGATTGTGAAAGAGTAACAGGCTTCAGCCGCTGCCCGCCAAGGAGGGCACCTCTGCCCACAGCAGATCAGCCAGGGCTCTGGGCTCTAGTGTCCGAATTCTCCCTGCTTGATGCCCTGACAGCACTGCTGCCCCGATTGGTTTTAAAATGCCTGGGTGGGGAGGGTCGAATGATTACCAGGTTTCCTTCTGCGGTGATGAAAATGTTTTGGGACTGCATAGAGGTGATGGCTATACAACATTGTGAATGTACCAAATCCACTGAATTGTTCACTTTGAAATGATTAAACTTTGTTAAGTGAATTTTAGAAATTCAATTAAAGACAATCCCAGGGACTTCCCTGGTGGTCCTGTGGCTAAGACTCCCAATGCAGGGGGCCCGGGTTCGATCCCTGGTCAGGGAACTAGATCCCACATGCATGCTGCAACTAAGAGGCCCGCATGCTGCAACTAAAAAGATCCCGTGTGCCACAACGAAGACCCGGCACAGCCAAAATAAAAACATAAATAAATATTAAAAAAATAAATAAAGACATTCCCAGGCACCCATTGTGCAGGTTGGTTTGAAGTTACACAGGTGGGAGGCCCCAGTCCTGAGTTTCTCCGCTTCTCCGTTTAGACTAGCAGCAATTCGAGGGTCAGCGTAGGAGTGTATGCGCTAGAGGGAGGTGAGGCTGACCAGAGTCACTGAGGCGCCTGGTGGCTGCGGGCAGGGGGAAAGTCATTGGAAGAGTCATCTTTTTTTTTTTTTTTTTTTGCGGTACGAGGGCCTCTCACTGTTGTGGCCTCTCCCGTTGCGAAGCAACAGGCTCCGGACGTGCAGGCTCAGCGGCCATGGCTCACGGGCCCAGCCGCTCTGCGGCACGTGGGATCTTCCCGGACCGGGGCACGAACCCACGTCCCCTGCATCGGCAGGCAGACTCTCAACCACTGCGCCACCAGGGAAGCCCTGGAAGAGTCATCTTGGCTATAGTCTCCACTTATTCAATCAGACGCTAATCTGGGTGTTGCTGTGAAGGTATTTAGTCAATGTGATTAAAGCCCATAGCCAGTTAACCAAGCAAGTGAGATTATCCTAGATAATCTGGGTAGGCCTGATTTAATCCGTCAAAAGGCCCTGAGAGCAGGGCTGAGGTTCCCGGATGAGGAAGGGATTCAGGGATTCGCGTGTGTACAGCAGCCTCAGCCCAGGCCCAAGCATTCCAGTCTGCCCTTCCTGACAGCCTGCTCTCCAGATTTCAGGCTTGTCCATCCAGACCCCACAGTCACTGAAATCAATTTCTTGCAATGAATTCCTTAATATGTATCCTACCATTTCTGCTTCTTTTTTTTCTTTTTTTTTTTTTTTGGCCATGCCTCACAGCTTGCGGGATCTTAGTTCCCTGACCAGGGACTGAACCCGCGCCCTCGGCAGTGAAAGCTCAGAGTCCTAACCACTGGACCACCAGGGAATTCCCCTGTTTCTCTTTCCTTGGTGGACCCTGACTGATATAGGTTCTGGTATTGGAACTGTTTCTAGAGGAACAGAATCTCAAGGATGAGTCTTCTGTGTTGGTTCTAGGATTCCTGGAATTCTTCTCTAATTCGATTGGATTTAAAGGCACTGATGAGCTGTGAGCTGGACCTGGGCAATTGGAGGCTCTTACCCTCTTCCGTGTCCTTGGAATGTCCATTCTGCCCACTGTTCCTACATTAGGAGCGACATCGGTGATGCAGCCTTGAGAGAGTGGTGTGTTATTGAGCCCATCTGGACTGTATTAGTGACTGAACCCCATTAAGGCGTCTGTGTAAACTCTTAAGATTCTGACAGGCAGGTGGCAGAGATCTACTCATCTTGCAGCCACCCAAGACAAGCTTCCTATGTAAGTCCTTTTATTAAAACTGCCACCTGCCAATCTGGAGTGGCTGCTTCTTTCTTTGGTCTCTTGCCCTCCGAGAGCAGGGGTCAGTTTTAAATTTCACCCGGGGAACTCCTGAGGTTGCGAACCAACATAATTGTACGCCAACAAATTGGATACCCTAGATGAAATGGACAAATACCTAGAAATACAAAACCTATCAAGTCTGAGTCACAGGAGCTTCCCTGGTGGCACAGTTGTTAAGAATCCGCCTGCCAATGCAGGGGAAATGGGTTCAAGCCCTGATTAAGGAAGATCCCACGTGCCACGGAGCAACTAAACTCGTGTGCCACAACTACTGAGACTGTGTGCCACAACTACTGAAGCCCACACGACTAGAGCCCGTGCTCTGCAACAAGAGAATCCACCTCAATGAGAAGCCCGCGCACCCCCACTCACCACAACTAGAGAAAGCCCACGCACAGCAACGAAGACCCAGTGCAGCCAAAAATAAATAAATAAATTTATTTTAAAAAGACTGAGTCACAAAGAAATAGAAAATCTGAATAGATCTTTAACTAGTAAGGAGACTGAAGGAGTAATCAAAACCCTCCCAACAAAAAGAAAAGCCTGGGACCTGATGGCTTCTGTGATGAATTCTACCAAACATTCAAAGAAGAACACCAATTCTTCTCACATTTTTCCAAAAAACTGAAGAGGAGGGAGCACTTCTTAACTCATTCTGTAAGGCCAACATTACCCTGACACCCAAGCCAGACAAAGAAGCTACAAGAAAACAAAACTACAGACCAATATTCCTTTGAATATTGATGCAAATACCCTCAACAAAATACTAGCAAACTGAAATCAGCAGCATGTTGAAAGGATTATACACCTTGACCAAGTGGGATTCATTCCCAGAATGCGAGGATGGTCCAAAATACAAAAATCAATGTAATATGCCACATTAAAATCTCAGATGATCAACTTAATTGATGTAGGAAAAGCATTTCACAAAATTGAAAACCCTTTCAAGATTAAAAAAAACACTCAACATAACTCGGAATAAAACACTCAACACGGAATAGAAGTAAACTACATAACAGAGACCATATATGAAAAACCCACAGTTAACATCATGCATAGTTAATGGTAAAAGACTCAATGCCCACTTTTTGCACTTCTATTCAACATAGTGTTGGAAGTTATAGCCAGAGCAATTAAATAAATAAATAAGCATATCCCAATTTGAAAGAAGTAAAATCATGTTTGTAGATGACATCCTGTATGTAGAAAACCCTAAAGATTTCATACCAAAAGAGTATTAGAGAAAAAAAAAAGTATTAGAACTAATAAATGAATTTACCAAAGGAACAAGACACAAAAGCAACACACAAAAATCCATTGTATTTCTATACACTAAACAATTTGAAAAGGAAATTAAGAAAACAATTCCACTTAGAATAGCATCAAAAAGAAATACTTAGGAATTAACCAAGGAGGTGAAAGACTTCTACAATGAAAACTACAGGGAATTCCCTGGGGGTCCAGTGGTTAGGACTCAGTGCTTTCACTGCCAAAGGTGCAGGTTCAATCCCTGGTTGGGTAACTGAGATCCCACAAGCCATGCAATGCGGCCAAAAAAAAAAAAAAATTAGTATTTACCTAATAGATTTGTTATGAGGAGGTAAAGCACTCAGAATAGTCTGGCACTTTGTAAGAGCTCAATGTAAATGCTAGTGATTATTTTTAAAAAACAAAAAACAAAAAAACCAACAACACCCATTAAATGATTGTGCTGGGAAGTCCTTCCTGGTCACACGCCTCAGTCCATGATGAGTCATGGGCCCTGGAATGCAGATGTCTGCATGGTGCAGGCTGAGGGCTCTGCTTCTGCTCTTGTTTCTCCTGTCCCCAGCTCCAGGTGCACAGCAGGCCCCTGGGGAAATTCTGTAGAGCAAAGGAAGGCGCGCTGGTTCAGCTGGGACCCTGGGCAGAGGATCTCATGGCTGGGGACTGTGGTATTCAAAAGAGAAATCGGCTTTTTTCTTCGGATTGTAGTGAGCAAATATTTTACAGAAAATTTAGAAGATAAGGAAAAATACAGAGAAGGGAGAAAAAAATCATCTCTAGTCCTCCAACCCAGAGATAGATCATAGCTAACATTTTGGCATATTTCTTTCCAGTCCTATTTTATGGACTATGCCTATTTTAACATAATTGGGATCATAATGTCCATATAATTTTGTGGTGTTCCCTTCTGTTTCTCAATGTAATGTGAACATTTTCCTTCACCATAAAAAAAAATTTGTTTTTAAACACTTTACCAGCTGCATAGTGTTCTACATGTAGATGGCCCCCTATTTAATTATTCCCCTACATTAGACATTAAGGTATGTATGTATGTATTTATTTATTGCTGTTACAAATGATGCTGGTATGAATACTTTCATGGCTAAATTAGTCTTATTTCTATTGTTTTCTTTAGGATAGGCCCCAAGAAATGGAATTCACTGTGTCGAAAAGCATGAACGCCTTGTCGAGAACTGGGAAGAGTCTGACATCTTACCCTATGTGCAAGCTGATGAGTTAGCTGACCTCAGTTTCATGGATGCTCAGCAAAAGATACAACACTCCTGGATCAGAGACAAAGGACATCATTACAACAATAGCAGCAGCCAGGGTACCAGCATTTTCTTGCAGGAGTTCCCTGAGCCCCAATTCCCACAAGACAACACAAAGAGGGCCAAGTGACTCCTACACACACAGTGCTTTGCATTAAGGAGAGAAAGGGAAAAAGAGAGATGAGCGCTTAGAGAATTTGACTCTTTTATACTGGACGGTAAAGTATGTCTGCTCCTTGTTCTAAAGACAGACTCTGCCCCTCTCTACCAAGGTCGCAAGAACACCTGTGCTTTGCTCTGGAGGGAGAACTATATCTTACAAGGCTGTTGACTCGGCAGACATCCTTGAAAAATAGTCTGGGACAAAGGCATTCATGGTTTTAGCTCGAAAGTCATGCAAAAATTTGAGAAATGTGAGACCCACAACAATAACTTCCAAAAATATCCACCCCTCATTTCTACACCATCTTGACTTCTGGCAACTTCCCCATGAGTGTACCATGCCAACAGTTGCTCTCATTAATCTGATCAACAGAAGCTGGACTAAATCAATTCAGTTTGTCTCTCGGCATTTCATTAATTTCACCTACAGCACTTCAAGGAGCAGAATGAG